AAAACCATAGAAGGAACAACGGGATCGTATCAATTACTTGGGAACAATCTACAAAAAACAGACAAGGAAAAAGATATTGGCGTTACTGTAGACTCGGCATTGAGTTTTGAAAACCATATCAGCGAAAAAGTAAAAAAGGCAAACCAAATTTTCGGACTGTTAAGAAGAACTTTTAATTTTATGAATTATACCACCTTTCTCCCGTTATACAAATGTTTAGTAAAATCACAACTTGACTATGCTAGTTCTGTTTGGGCACCGTATAAAGCAAAAGATATTGATAGAGTGGAAGCCGTGCAGCGCAGAGCAACTAGGAGTTTACCGGGGATGAAAAACTTAACATACCAAGAAAGACTACAAAAGCTGGAACTCCCAACACTATCATACAGAAGGGCTAGAGGGGATATGATTGAACTATATAAGATAATAAGCGGAATATACGACAGGGAATCCTGTAATTTTATTAAACTTTGGAAGGATGTAACAACGCGTCACAGCAGTAGGAGGAATTCAAAAATGATCTTCCCGCAACAATTCAAAACTACACTAAGGAAAAACAGCTTTGGTATTAGAACTGTAAAAATGTGGAACGGTCTTCCCGAGGACGTTGTATCGGCACCTAATATAAACACTTTCAAGAAGGACAAAATATGGAAATACTTTATAATTATAAGGCAACCATAGATGGAAGTGAACTCTAATATTTAAACATGAGAACATATTACATGTATAATAGAGTCCGGTGTAGAGGAACATATTGTTCCTGTACTGGAAAATAACTATAACTATAACTATAATGAAATAGGAGGATTCTCAATGCTTCATCCAGATTTTTGTAAACTTATTTATTTTTAGTGCTTTAGTGTTTTGGCTTTATCAGCCTTTCACCACTGTTGACTATAATGGACTCATCCAGATCAATGCATGATAGGGTATAGTAAAGTTACATAGGGTTTAACGGGTTAAACCATCATCATCAGGTTAGCAATACACAATGCCAGGTACAGTATCTTTTGAAAAGAAATTTCTAAATTTACTTTCAGTTACAGTATAACCCCGATATACCGCCACCTACCGTTCAAAGACATTTTGGCGGTACAACGAGTTTGGCAGTACAATGAGTTGTCCCTGTTAAATGGCAGGTGGATGAACGCTTGTTTGTTTTGGGGCACAATTCCAACACTTACCAATGAAAACTAAAATATACATGTATACATTTGTATATGCAATTTTTAATATACACACCGTTTTTGAAAGAATAATTAGTTCAGAAATATTGATTTAGATCTGGTATTACGATCAGTGTGTCGCATGCAAGATATACACTTTACGAGTACTGCGGTGCGCGTGCGAGAGTGTCAGTTTTACGTGCCTGTATTTACAGATTTACTTACAATCGTCAAGTAATGTCTGCATAGCAGTGTCAATATTCACATTTCTCTACTGCAGATGCCATCATTTCTGTATGTCAGACTCTGTTTTTTTGAGAAGCCATGTGAAAAGCCATATGATGTGAATGAATGAATAAATAACTGACAGAGGTAATATTGGTAAATTGTATTCAGATGTAAATTAATAAATTGATAAGACACACAGAGTCACTGTGAAATCAACGATATAGGTAAATTTCTTTGATGGAGCCTGGTGGTGTTGTCGGGGGCCAACAAAGGGGTTATTGAATGACTGTTCTCAAAACATTTTGGCATATGGTGGTACCCGAGTTTCGCTGTACAACGGGTGCATTTAAGTGTGAGGAAATCGGATCTGACAAAATTGATGGCGGTATGCGAGTTTGGCGGTACAACGGGTGGCGATACATTGAGGTTTTACTGTATTATGTACACCCTGTGTGTTAGCCTTGAAATAGCAAAATTATCATTCTCATCACAAGGTTAATAACAGAAGTAATGTTGAAAAGGTTTTAATGTCGAGTCAAGTTTAATCCTTAGCTACACATACTACATATATTAAAAAATTACTGGCTTTGAAACGAGTCTTCCTAAATTCATTCTCATTATAAATCATTTCCTTCAGAATAAAATATGTATCAATGCTTCACATAAATGTTGAGAAACGTCCTTGAGCAATCGTTGTCAATAGCGTATATTTCAGTACCAGCTGGTAATTGCTTTTCCAGCTAAAAGCTTTTAAAGTCGATCTGGTCGTGGTCTGTTGGTTTTAGTATACAGAGTGCGGGTATAAAAATAGAATGTCAGTACAGATATGATATCACATTTGAGTATATGATGTACATTTACATATTTGGAAACATTGAGACTGAAAACAAGGCTATATATAATACTCTAACACATGTAGTTAATATACAACGCTGAAGTCCTTTATATTATAGCCAATGTATAGTTAAAAGTGGCAAACATTTTATAACCAGTCATTTTACTATGATGCTGATATTATTTATTTTGATTTTAGACTGGTTTATATTAATTGAACTGTTATAACTACCTACATATGAGTTGTATGTTTCCCAAGCTGAAGTTTTCAATGGAAAATAGAAATCTCTGACACATATACATGTAACTCCCCAACTCTCCCTATTTTGGAGGGAGACTCCCAATTTAGGACCCTAAAATTGAGCATTTTCAACTAGTGAATTTGCGAAAGTATTCTTATTTTTTAAGATCTGAAGATTTCATCTGAAAGAACAGCTCAAAAGATGCCATTTAAAAGTTTCATTTTTTCCCCTGGGGTGTACATACACACATCTTAATTATGCTTTTATTTCTGAGAACATGACAAATCTCCCCATCGAAACTTTAAAAAGTTGGCTAGTTTGTACTAGACAGGTTATATTAGACTATTTTACCAGTCTAAAATATAGATTACAAATAAGTTGTCACACTGTAGTTATTCTTATTGAGGATGAGAAATGTCACGATTGCAAGAAAATTATGCTCAAACATAAAATACAGGAAGATATCAAATTGTAAATAATGTAAAATTAATAAAAAAAAGATTAACGTTTAAGAATAGTAAATTAATATTTATTGTGTTACCACATTTTCAAGAATTTTAACAAGAAATTTGTTGCTGTAAATTTAACGTTTGCATTTCTCTGCCCTCTGTTATAAGGGTAAATTTATCATTACGGCAGACATTAGTTAACTTCATTACATACCCCTGGTAGTAGTCAAATGTAGGGGTGGGGGGTTACTAGCCTAAGTTTCCTCTGGCCCTAACACCAGACTTAGACATTTTGACATATATATGTCTGGTGTGGGGCCAGAGCGCACTGCTATATGAAAACGTGGAATTCTCCGACACCGTTTAGTATCGGGGAGTGACTTTTCAACAAAAAGATGCAATACCAAACGGTGTCGGAGAATTCCATGTTTTCATATAGCAGTGCACTAAGACTGGCCCCACACCTGACATCTATATGTCATAATGTCTAAGTCTGGTGTCAGGGCCAGAGGAAACTCGGGCTAGGGGGTAACACGTTTAATTGGATGGGTTCATATTTCAGGGTCTCAAAGTCAATGCAATCTTAACTATTACTATTTATTTGTCAACCACAGGGTCAACATGGGGCTTTCATGTCTTACACAATTTCCATCAGGAATCGTTGCTCTGATTTATTTCTGCATTTCTAGTTAGTGGTAATCATGGCCAAGTCCAACATAAGATAGAAGGTAAAGGTCACTATACTCATGAGTCAAGCATATAGGGTCCAGGTCATTATGAGTCGAACCTGTGGAGGATGTGGGTCATAAACTCATGAGTCAAGCCTATAGGGTCCAGGTCGTCATGAGTCAAACCAGTAGAGGATGTGGGTCATATACACATGAGTCAAGCCTGTAGGGTCCAGGTCGTCATGAGTCAAACCTGGGGATGCTGGTCCTATACTCATGAGTCAAGTCTATAAGGTCCAGGTTATTATGAGTCAAACCTGTGGAGGATATGGATCATATACTCATGAGTCAAGTCTATAGGATCAGGTAATCATGAGTCAAACCAAGAAGATGCTGGTCATATACTCATGAGTCAAGACTAGTGTACTATAGGGTCCAGGTTATTATGAGTCAAACCAAGAAGATGCTAGTCATATACTCATGAGTCAAGCCTATAGGATCAGGTAATCATGAGTCAAACCAAGAAGATGCTGGTCATATACTCATGAGTCAAGTCTATAGGGTCCAGGTTATTATGAGTCAAACCTGTAGAGGATGTGGGTCATATACTCATGAGTCAAGTCTATAGGGTCCAGGTTATTATGAGTCAAACCTGTGGAGGATATGGATCATATACTCATGAGTCAAGTCTATAGGATCAGGTAATCATGAGTCAAACCAAGAAGATGCTGGTCATATACTCATGAGTCAAGACTATAGGGTCCAGGTTATTATGAGTCAAACCAAGAAGATGCTGGTCATATACTCATGAGTCAAGCCTATAGGATCAGGTAATCATGAGTCAAACCAAGAAGATGCTGGTCATATACTCATGAGTCAAGTCTATAGGGTCCAGGTCCATCCTTTGAGCTGTCATGAGGTATTCAACCTGCAAAATATGTGTAAATCTTATGTTGCTGCCTTTGACCTTTTGTTGACCTTGAATGTTTGGATTTCCAGTGGCATAACTATAGAACCAAAACACCCTTCATGTACATCATTTTTCCTAGCACAGTGTCTCACCCTTTTCCTATAATCAGTTCATTTTGAAGAAAAAATCCATCTGCAAGCAATTGTTATCTGCGATATTGGTTTGCAGGTTAATGTTGTGGTTCAAATTATTTCTCATGTAAAAATAAAACAACAAAAATTACTTGTTTTGACCGTGGAACCTCCAGTTCTGCACGTTGTGTATCAGACATATTAATTAATGTCCCTATTTCTGTACCAAAATGTCTGTCATTTTATACTCTCAAATCTTTAGATACAATGTCATACATGTATATACAAATAAACAGCTTGGTGCGTTAAAGATTTTTGTTTTAATAATGATGCAATTTTTTTTATTTTATTTTTTTATTTCCTAATCAGATGACAGCTTACTTCAATCAAATGCAGAAGAGAAAATCAGTGGGAAGGCATGGGGGCGAGTCAAGGTAAGACTTGGTTTAAATTAACAGACAGATAACATACAAACTTGGCTGTAGTGAGGGCATTAATCCCTTGTACAATGTATATAAATCAGACCACAGATATTATCTGATGTTGAGTTATAATTAACTTACCTAATTAATGGTTTTATAATTACAGAATGTGTTCACAAGAAGAAGAAAATATCCTGTCAGTATATTTTTTATCCTCGGGAATGAATTCTGTGAAAGGTTCTCCTACTATGGAATGAGAGGTGAGTTTATATAAGGATTATTGAATTTTGTATTACACTTTTTAAATATATATTTCAAGATTTTTTTTTATCTGAATTTGAATGCCCTTCACAATATAATAGATGATAAAATTAAAAAAAACAACTTTTCCTTGCGTAATGTGTACTTTATTTTTCAAGTGATAGAAAAGTTAATACATGTACATTGTATAAACATTCAGTATGGCTTTATGATAACAATGGTGGCCAGGGGGAGCTTATTCTATAACATTGGTGGCCAGGGGGAGCTTATTCTATAACATTTGTTGCTTATCAATAAATCAAGGAAATTAATGATAGCATACTTTATATAGAAATAAAACAAAACAACAAAGATGTAATTTTGCTAGTACTTTCACCCATCTTGGGGCTCTTCAGGTGTTTTTGTCTGCTTATTTTCTATATATAGATACAAAAATCATAGTGGTAAAAATTGTTAAACGTCCATGTGATCGTAGAAATATAAATAAAACAAAACACTGAAGACTAAATCTTGCTAGTTCTTTCACCCATTTTGGGGCTCTCCAGGTCAGAGATCGCTTGAAGAGTCTATGATGGACGAAAGTACTAGCGAAATTTAGTCTTCACTGTTTTGTTTTATTTATAGAAATATATATGTGTGAATATAAATGTACAGCCTGATCGTCTGTGAAACCTTATTACAGAACCAATTTACTGGCCTGTATAGTAAATAAAGGCTAGGATTAAAGTTGACAATATAATGACATAATTATACATTATTACATTGTTACTACTCTAATGGTACACTGGAAATTACATAGGGCTGAGTCAGTACCACATCAGTGGGGGCTCAGTGATCAATGTCATGGCTGAGTTCGCCAAGAAATAACCTCACAGTGTAATTGCGGCTTAAATCTCTAAAATAACCTATGGTATTTAATATTAATCAAAATATGAAATTAACAAGTATCATCTCAAACGAATTCATGAATAAGTATGATATACATGAAGATGGTCTCTTAGACAATATAGTACATATAGATATTATCAGACAAGTTCCAGCTATGTAGCGAGTCCTGTGGATTTCCTGGTTTCCCGACAACATACCATTTTGTGGGTCACAACATGAATTTGTAGATAACAAGTACCCACTCAAATGGGGAATGCTTAATATATCAAACTTGTAATTACTTTGGGGGGGACCTATTAATTTGTGGTTGAATATTACCCACAAAATCAGCAAAATTTAAAACCCACGAAAGTGAGTTATTTTTCAGTATATTATCAGAGAAGTTATGATCAAAGCTTTTCGATAAGTTTATCTTTGATATGTGAGAAACATTTTCATTCCTATCGTCAATGTAAATACTGATATATCATCTGTATAGCTGATCTGGGAGTAGTTAAAACCCTTAAGTGTTTTTAGCTCACCTGTCACTCGTCATTGAAGGTCACACTGGGAACAACTATGTTACATCAACATCTTCTACAGAACCATGAAACCCCAATTCATGTTTCTCCAGTTCATGTTTCTCCTGATAAAAATATACAACATTCATATAGCGCCCTATATAATTTGTAAAATTACTCTAAAGCGCTTTAAAACACATGGATAATAGTATTACTTATAATAGATAAACAAAAAGGTATATAAATCACCATTATGCATTATGTAAAAAAAAACAATTATCTCAATATACTATAAAATAATATATATATAGGGTAGTGTGTACATGACATCTGTGCAAAGAGGCTAAAATGCAGGCGTGAAGAGGTGGGTTTTTATATCCTTCTTGAATTTGGCCAGGGGTTTTGGCATGAATTGAGGGAATTGCTTTTGAATTCGTTCGAATACAATTAAGGTCACAGGGTTCAAACTGCATCTTCTTAAGAACCAGGAGACCTAGAGTCAAAACATTTGGTCTGTTGATTTTATTATCTGGATGGTATTCTGGCAACTTTTTAAAATATATTACCTTGACCTACATTTAAGATCACAGGGGTCAAATGTTTTCAAAAACTTAAACAAATGTTTAAGCCTTGAAGCTTTCATATATTTTGATATCACCAATAAGTAACAGGTAAATGATACTTTGGTCTTGACCGTTTCTATGAGTAATAATTCCTCATCATAATAATAATAAACATAATATGTGTCCATAGTTTGTTTATCCTCATTAACTCATCCACCCCTGAAGACACATTTGAACTCTTCCAATTTAAAGATTGGAATAGTTCATTATGAAACTTCAGGGGTGAATGAGTTAATATAAAACATCATTTTTCCTGTCCAGCTATCCTCGTCCTTTACCTGACACGATGGCTGAAGTTCACGGATGACCATGCCACGGCTATCTTCCACGCCTTTGTGATGCTGTGTTACTTCAGTCCACTCTTTGGCGCCATTATTGCTGATGGTTACCTCGGACGACTCAAGTAAGTCCACTGTTAAAGGTCATGTTGCTGATGACTACCTCGGACGACTCAAGTAAGTCCACTGTTAAAGGTCATGGCTGCTGCAGGATTCATTTAAAACGAGGATGGAACTGAGGGGACTGCAGGATTTTCTTGTACAGGAAATAACATTGGAGAGTGTAAATAGTTTTAATGAAATCTTATATATAGATAGAGGTGTCATGTCTTACTAAGATGTTTTTTTGTCTACAACTGTTGGGTCCGTACCAAACAAAGATTATAAGGGTTCACAGGTAAGGTGTTAATAGGAATGCTTGTTGCAGTATGGAACCTACGGGATTGATGAGAGAAAAGTTTTGCTGTACATTTTACCAGTGATGAGTAGCTTATTAAGTCATTATAATTTTCTGTTTTGACTAATGGAATCTTACACCTCTTTGGGGTTGAGATAAGTCCCGATTTCACATCAAGGGAGTGAATTATTCATCTTCTCTAAAATTCCTTGTTGACCCTGTCATATACAAAAGGCAATGTTGACATTATAGGCTAAATGCTGTGATTGTTGATGTGATGTTAATGCTTTGTTAACGTGACGTCATACAATTGTTTTGACTGGGGAATCTCTATCTCAACCCAGGGGTGAGACACAGAATATCTCACACTACCCAGTGAGACAAGGATATCTCACACCACCCAGTTAGACAAGGATATCTCACACCACCCAGTTAGACTAGGATATCTCACACCACCCAGTGAGACAAGAATATCTAACACCACCCAGTGAGACAAGGATATCTCACACCAACAAGGGGTGATACTAATAGAATCTTTCACCCCCTTGAGGGTGAGATAGGGGGATCTCAACCCGAGGGGGAAGATTCTTATGTTTGGCAACTAAAGAATCTTTCCCTGAGGGTTGAGATTCCTCTATCTTACCCACAAGGGGGTGAATGATTCTTTTTCTCTTACACTGTTCTCCCAATGTGTATCATATACACAATGTAATGATAACGTTGCATGCTAAATTCAGGGGTGACGTGACGTTGATGGATTGTTGACATGACGTCATTGTATTATTGAAGTGACGTCATACCATTGTTATGAATAGGGGACACCCCCCCCCGTCTCAACCCTAGGGTGAGACAAGGAAATCTCACACCAGTAAAAGTGTGGATACACCTGTCCAGGGTAAGAGAAACTGGAGGATATCTCATACCACCCAGGGTTGAGACAAGGATATCTCACACCTGGAAAAGTGTGTTCACCTATCCAGGATAAGAGAAAACCATGTCTCTAAGGTTGATTTAGTCTAGAGGTATGTAAGAAAATTTGTCGAAACCACAGGGTTTAATTTTGGCTGTATTTTAATATGCATATATCTAAATATGTTGGAAACTAAATCTTGACGAAAAGAGATTAAGTCCAAAAATGTAGCAATGTCATTTCCTTAATACATTATTTTTTACCTTTTAGAACAATCTTGTATGTGTCAATAATCTATGCCGCTGGGAACCTGGTGATGGCGCTCACTGCTCTGCCTCCACCTGAATGGTAAGTCTAGTTATGGCGCTCACTTCTCTGCCTCCACCTGAATGGTAAGTCTAGTGATTGCGCTCACTGCTCTGCCTCCACCTGAATGGTAAGTCTAGTTATGGCGCTCACTTCTCTGCCTCCACCTGAATGGTAAGTCTAGTGATGGTGCTCACTGCTCTGCCTCCACCTGAATGGTAAGACTAGTGATGGCGCTCACTGCTCTGCCTCCACTTGAATGGTAAGTCTAGTAATGGCGCTCACTGCACTGCCTCCACCTGAATGGTAAGTCTAGTGATGACACTCACTGCTCTGCCTCCACCTGAATGGTAAGACTAGTGATGGCGCTCACTGCTCTGCCTCCACTTGAATGGTAAGTCTAGTAATGGCGCTCACTGCTCTGCCTCCACCTGTATGGTAAGTCTAGTGATGGCGCTCACTGCTCTGACTCCACCTGGATGGTAAGTCTAGTAATGGCGCTCACTGCTCAGCCTCCACCTGAATGGTAAGTCTAGTGATGGGGCTCACTGCTCTGCCTCCACCTGAATGGTAAGACTAGTGATGGCGCTCACTGCTCTGCCTCCACTTGAATGGTAAGTCTAGTAATGGCGCTCACTGCTCAGCCTCCACCTGAATGGTAAGTCTAGTGATGGGGCTCACTGCTCTGCCTCCACCTGAATGGTAAGACTAGTGATGGCGCTCACTGCTCTGCCTCCACCTGACTGGTAAGTCTAGTGATGGCGCTCACTGCTCTGCCTTGCACCTGAATTGTAGGTCTAGTAGTGATGGCACTCACTGCGCTGCCTCCACCTGACTGGTAAGTCTAGTGATGGCACTAACTGCTCTGCCTCCACCTGAATGGTAAGTCTAGTACTAGTGATGGCGCTCACTGCGCTGCCTCCACCTGAATGGGAAGTCTAGTGATGGCGCTCACTGCGCTGCCTCCACCTGAATGGTAAGTATAGTGATGGCGCTCACTGCTCTGCCTTGCACCTGAATTGTAGGTCTAGTAGTGATGGCGCTCACTGCGCTGCCTCCTCCTGAATGGTAAGTCTAGTGATGGCGCTCACCGCTCTGCCTCCACCTGAATGGTAAGTCTAGTGATGACACTCACTCCTCTGCCTCCACCTGATTGGTAGGTCTAGTAGTGATGGCGCTCACTGCGCTGCCTCCACCTGAATGGTAAGTCGAGTGATGTCGCTCACTGCTCTGCATCCACCTGAATGGTAAGTCTAGTGATGTCGCTCACTGCTCTGCCTCCACCTGAATGGTAGGTCTAGTGATGGCGCTCACTGCTCTGCCTCCACTTGAATGGTAAGTCTAGTAATGGCGCTCACTGCACTGCCTCCACCTGAATGGTAAGTCTAGTGATTGCGCTCACTGCTCTGCCTCCACCTGAATGGTAAGACTAGTGATGGCGCTCACTGCTCTGCCTCCACCTGAATGGTAGGTCTAGTAGTGATGGCGCTCACTGCTCTGCCTCCACCTGTATGGTAAGTCTAGTGATGGCGCTCACTGCTCTGCCTCCACCTGAATGGTAAGTCTAGTGATGGCGCTTACTGCTCTGCCTCCACCTGAATGGTAAGTCTAATGATGGCACTACTTTCAATTAATGCTTTATTTGTAACAATTTCTAGATTGGCTCTTATCTATGATTGGTCCAAGTGATATATTGGCTAATTGATAAATTCTTATTTACATACATTATTGTTTCTTTATTTATGATTAGGCGAGTGGTATATATTTCTGATCTACCCATTTTATTTGTTTTCGCATCCTTGACCAGGATTGGCCCGATGATAGGACTGATTTTGATTGGGCTAGGCACTGGTGGGATTAAGCCCTGTGTGTCAACGTTCGGTGCTGACCAGTTTAGACCTGATCAGGTAAAGTTCCCTCTTGACATCAATTCATTCACTGGCCTTGTTGATATTGTTACTGTATACTGGGAATTTTCACCACAGTTTAACTTTCAACGATTTCGCCCTTTCCAATGAGGGCGCATTTATCATAACGGGGAATATATTAGTACGTGTCAGCTTACAATTAATAGTAATTACTTGTGAATGAATAAATTATCACTAGGGGAACATGGATTTTATCGGCTAATGGTGAATAAATGAATGAGCGAAAAATTTCCGATATACAGTATGATTCTTCAGGTGACAGGTATGAATTAGTTTTATTTCACCATTATTTGTAAATCAATATTTAATTTATTTCAATGTTTAACAAGAAATGTAAAGTATGATATATTTCTCTCTATAGAACTTTTCTGATAGAGTCAGTGACACAATGCAAGAAAATAGATCTGAAATATCAGTGCTTTGTTACACTCACTGGTACAGTGTGCTGTACCAATGATATAAATTGATATTATATGTTGACATTATAATATTTCTGCTCAGATAATATTTAAACCAGTGGTAGAAAAATCGTTTCAGCACAGTCAGTTATCCCATGTGTAGTATACAGTAAATTTGTAATTTCAGGATAAGGAAAGGATGACATTTTTCTCTGCCTTCTACTTCATGATAAACCTTGGCAGTGTGTTGTCCATCTTAATCACACCTATATTGAGAGGTAAGATTTTGATTTCATTAAACATTATCCTTGTCGTCCTGTTGGTATGAATTAGTGGCTGTATGTCAAGTACTGTATAACATGCAATGTTCGTTTTCACTTTTGTGGTTGTTATTGAACCACGAAAATAAATATAACGAATTTGAATGATACGTGTGTCTATACTGTTTGTTATTATAGGATATTCGAGAAAGTTTGTACCATGAAACTATTTAGATTGCTTCAAACCACGAAGGAAAGTGCCCACTAACATTTCGTGTTATACAGTACATGTATGTGTTGGATGGAAAACCTTTACCTATTTTCAAGGTTACATTGGTCATGGTAACAATGACTAATTCATGGTAGTATGAACGCAGTTGGCAACTTACATATTCTTTATGGACTGCTAATGCGCACCATAGAATATGCTTGTTTCCAACTGCATTCATACTACCGTATATGCTGTCAAAATGAGGGTCAATCTCTATATATGTGCACAGGTTTCAAACTAAGAACAATCTAAATAGGTAAGAAATAATTTCATTACCTCCAGTAGATAGAGGTACCCGGGTAAATGACAGCTGGTGTCTGGGTGAGCCATAATTCAATGCTTTACAGCACAAACCAGGTACTTTACAAAAGGACTTTAAATATTTGTTTCCTATTTGTTTGTTACACTGTATATCTGTTGCTTGATTGTAAAAAATGCTTTAATTAAAGATGGCTTTGTTGAAGTTTAGAAGTTTTCTATCAGATTTATCTGCTGATGATGCTTTTCAAATCAATTGATGTTGATGAATTTCGTTGATGACTTTCCAGCTGATGTCAGGTGTTTTGGAGGAGAGTGCTATCCTTTAGCCTTTGGAGTACCTGCCATTCTAATGTTCTTAGCTACCAGTAAGTATTACCTTGTTTGGAGTACCTACGATTTTAATGTTCGTAGCTACCAGTAAGTATTACCTTGTTTGGAATACCTGCTATTCTAATGTTTGTAGCTACCAGTAAGTATTACCTTGTTTGGAGTACCTGCCATTCTAATGTTCGTAGCTACCAGTAAGTATTACCTTGTTTGGAGTACCTACGATTCTTATGTTCATAGCTACCAGTAAGTATTAACTTGTTTGGAGTACCTACAATTCTAATGTTCGTAGCTACCAGTAAGTATTACCTTGTTTAGAGTACCTGTGATTCTAATGTTCGTAGCTACCAGTAAGTATTACCTTGTTTGGAGTACTTGCCATTCTAATGTTCGTAGCTTCCAGTGAGTATTAACTTGTTAGGAGTACATTTTTATCTGAGCGCCATAACATAAGTAATAGTGGTGAGATAATTTGGATGAAATTGTTGATGTGAAGAAGTGACTTCACTTTAACATGGTGTGTGTAGGTTTTGGATTTAAAAATAATGATATTTGGAAATATTGTATGGTGTGATCTGATCATTATTACAAATTACAAAATTATTGTTATTTCGTGAAAAATATAAAAACATAATTAGGTATTATTGGTGAAACAATAGGAATGAGGATATGTTTAATGTACTTAACATGACATGTAAGCAAGTGGTGCAGGGATTGATTTGTGGAGAACATGAGTGTGGTTCATTTGTTTAAGTATTTGTTATTTAAGTTTGTATATTAAAAAAAAAAAAAAAAAATTAAGGAGGGATCTCAAGGCTCACCTCAACTCTGGCCTTCCTTTCTAACATTGTGCTGAGGGATTAAAATTAAAGTAAGAAAAAAACCTAGTTTGAAGTATGTTTGCTATCAACTGTAATGTTAATAGAGCTACTAGATCTGTTTTCAGCAGTGGTGACAATGGACATACAGCAGCACAACCATAGATATTTACCACTCTGTGTCTTTAAATGTACCACTATATAACCCTGGAATTTTCGGAAGGCATTCATATAAGCCATGAATGCCATAGACCATGTGTTGACATCATCATTATTGTGATGTCTTGATTGTTAGGATAGATCTATATCACTGACCCTCCTGGAAGACAGGTGTTCTGTTCATTTAACAAGCATACACAATACATACATTGTACCTCTATCTTAACAGCTTGTAGTTGGCATTCATAGTCAATAGGAATGCCAACAGGAACATGAAAAATATACATGAAAGGCTAGCACAATCTCTGTTGATGTTCAAACTGCCTATGAACAGAAAGTCATCCTATCATCTCCTGTCCGTATAAAGAACTGTTGACTTCCATACCATGTAAATGTTGTAGAATAATGACTGTGTTAAGTGCGTTCTGAGATAGTTTGTTTTATTTAACAGTCATCTTCATTGCTGGGAAAAGTCAGTATAAAATTACGCCCCCTGCTGGTAATTTGGTGGGGAGAGTTTACAACTGTATAAAGGTAAGGAATCTGTCACAATTCTTTGTGAATTAAGTCAGAATGATTAAAAATTTTCTGTTATTTAATTTTCATTTTCAAGAATGAAAGTTTTGTAACTTTTGTAACCCCTAGTTACACTGCATTTTTTTAATGTGATCCAAACGTTGGACCAGAGTTGTTCATTTATGAAATAAGGTTTGACCTAGTAAAGACTGATACTGCTTTCAGGCGAATCTTGACAATTAAGGCCTTGTAAAGCCTGCATAAACATCTGCAGGTCTGCCAGAGTTTATACTCGAAAATTTTACCTGTAAAAACAGACAAAAAGGTTGAACCAGATGCACAAAATGGGTTATTGCTATCAAGGTAAGTGAGGTAGCTCTGTAAACTTTTTGTATATTTCTATTTCAAGGCAGGAATTAAGGGTAAGGTAAAAAACAGAGGGACCAATATGAAGATGCAACATTGGCTTGACTATGCAGAGGAAAAATTTGAGGTAAGTACACATAATTATAGACCCCTTCACACTGCATCCTTGATCATATAACTCCAGGGGTTATGCTCTGTCTTTCGAAAGCTCTCTGCACTCCTGGAATATGTCATAGCAAATCCAAAGGCATGCAGCTAGCTATTTGATTGTTGTCAGGTAAACAAACCTGATAAATTACTAGGCTGATACCTGTCCATTGAAGATTACAGAGGTGTAACACTTGACTTCAAAGCCAGTCAATTTTACCGCTACGCGATCAACAGATTCTTTTGATGTACATATCAAAGGATCAAACTAATCTCCTCGTTGTCTCACTCACAAGGAGGTGCACACTGAGCCTTTGATTTTGCTATGACATATTCTCGGGGTGTAGAGAGTGAAAGTGAACGTAACCCCTGGAGTATCGAGGATGATCATGCCGCCAAATCTTCGCAATTAATTGTCCTTATGACATAAACTTCAGTTGTCTTCACCGATGACCACTGGTATGTCTTTGCCGATCCCATCATCTGGACATAATTGGATTGATGGAAGTACATATCTTGCATATTTTCCCTTTACTGCGATAAATGTGACGTACCATTTATACACATTACAGGCGATAAATGTGACATCCCATTTATACACATTACAGGTGATAAATGTGACGTACCATTTATACACATTACAGGTGATAAATGTGACGTACCATTTATAAACATTACAGGCGATAAATGTGACGTCCCATTTATACACATTACAGGTGATAAATGTGACGTACCATTTATACACATTACAGGTGATAAATGTGACGTACCATTTATACACATTACAGGCGATAAATGTGACGTACCATTTATACACATTACAGGCATATCTCTTTTTCTTTAAACCAGCAGTGACAGTTCTCTGAGCATTTGAAATTGTGAATCAGAATTTAATAAATAAACATGCAAACTTTCTGCAATTTGCATTTTTTGTGTCTGTCATGTTCTAATGATGATCCCAAACATGTCCATTGAAGCTTTATGGCACTATGAAACTAGTCAAAAATGGACCCCATACAAACCAAACATGTACTGTTTATCAAGCCTTATCTGAAATAGTTTTACCAGTCGTCATATTTTTGTTTTTAGCCTGAGTTTGTTGAGGAAGTGAAGACTCTATTAAAAGTAATGACACTGTTTCTACCACTCCCATTGTTCTGGGCACTGTCGGACCAGCAGGTAACGTGGAAATATACTTAATGCAGTTGCAAAAATAAATTTGATCAGAAAATATTAGTGTATATGGGGGACATTTTCCACCCAGTCAAACTTAATTCCCCTCTTTGCCTATGAAATCAATTCCCGCAAAGTGATAGTTTCGTCCTTAACATTTAATTACTATATTTATTGTTGCTGTTTACTTATATTTGCTGTAATGATGTAACAATTCCCGGTATACAGTATGACATCAGATAGATATACAGTATGTCCTTATTTGAGTGCAATATTTTCTTTTTATACATGTGTATCAATAGTCAGTCAAATCTACTTCATTTAGTGAATTTTGAAAGTTGGCATATATATAGAGTGCCCTTTCTAGATAGAATAAATCACTCTAAAGTGCTGTACAATTTTGCAATAATTGTATTATTAATATTACTACTAGTTAAATGTTTGTTGAAAATATTTGATTTGATTCCAGGGATCAAGATGGACACTCCAAGCTGCCCAGATGGATGGTGACATGGTGAGCTTAAATATCTAGTGAAAAGAAATTATAATGCTAGCATAGTGTTAATGCTAGTGTTATGTAGCAGAACTGGACTGGATCTATCGTAGGCAACCAGGTCACTCAATTGGTAGAGCATCTGTCTAAAGTTTGGAGGGTTCTGGGTTCGAACCCCAGTCTGGCTGTGCACTTAGGGTTAGGGTTCTGCTCTTGTTACAGTGGTGCTCATGACCAAACCCTTGTTTAAGTACCTGGTGAATGAGATGCCCGAACTTAGGTTGTAAATAATGATGTCTTCGGGGGAAATCTCATAATATAATCAACATATATTTTGACTAGTTCCATCCAGATATAAGATGATATAAAGATTTTAGTATTGTATGAGAGAAATTAGGAATCATCTATATGGTATCCTGTTCAGATTGATCCATCATCTTTGTTAATGAAGTGAACTTGATGGAATATAAGTAGTGTTAAACTTACCCAGATGAATCATGGTAATCAATGTCAACTTTTTATGGGGGAAATAGTGTGTAATATCTGTTGGTTTTATGTAACTCTATAGGTTGACGGTAACAGGGTAACGTACGCCAATGTTTAATGAGTATATCTTGTGTAGTTCTTTCAAAGCTGCCCACTTGATATATATTGCAATATGAAATGAGAAAAAATATAACCAATCTGGTAAATTTAGAAGCTACTGATGTTGATGGTGTCTACTAGAGTCAGTTTTATTGAGAGACATATTTCTTACTTTAGGGAGTATTTGGACGATTAAAGCCAGACCAAGTCATGGTGAGTACTTACATCTTATCAATCTTTAAAACTATTAATCAAGAAGCTTCGCAACATTTGTGTTATAAATTTTATGGTATTTATGTATTTTTATCTTGTGCTATTTTCAATAATTAATGTATTCTCAGTGTTGACTAGAAGACTTTCATCAAGAAACAAATTGATTTATACATTTACTAGTTGTGATACATAACCTTTCAACCATACTTAAAGTGTTATTGTACGTAATTTGTAATGTGGGAGGAAACTGAAGTACCCGGAGAAAACCCCATACCTTTTTGCGTCGATCTTAGAAATGAACCCTGGCCGCCTTGGTGAAAAGCAAGTGCGCTAGCTATCCACTGCACAACCCGACCACCGGACTCGGATATTATTTCAATAATCAATGTCTTCTCAATGATGACTAGATGAATTTGATCAGGAAACAAATTGATATAAGTAATATGTTTACATGAAATAAAAGATTACAATTTATACAGCATTTCTATTATGTTTCAGGCTTTAAACCCTCTCCTCATCATCATCCTAATTCCTCTGTTTGAACAAGTTATTTATCCACTGTGTGACAAATGTGGTATACTGAACAGGTAACTATGAATACAAGAATTAACTATAATAGTTAAACTGTGATATTTCATCGCCTTGCAATGTCTATGATATAGGATGCGTCACAGTTCTTGCATCCAATTTTGTACACGCATTCTGCTATGTTTTCTATGGGTGTTCTATCCAGTAGGGTATGTACAATTGATATTTTGATGCTTCACTGGACATTTGTCTGATGAAGGTGACAGGGAGCGTACACAATTAGTCATCGAAACCTCACACATAAAAAATTACTGGTTGTGATACATAACCTTTCTACTGTACACACAGTGTTTATGTGCGTAATACACTAAATTTATCTGCGATGCTGTTCAGTACTGTAACTCTCAGCAGGATGCAGTTTAAAGTTCACCCTTTCACCACTGTAACCATAATGGACTTATCCATATCAACGCATGGTAGAGTTTATAAAGTTGCATAGGGGTGAAAAGGTCATCAGGACAGATCTGTTAATGTCGGACAGAAAACAGTTTTCTCCACCTCAGACAGGGATATCCAACCTGATACCAGTGCTAGATTGTTCTATCTCCGAACTGTCTGGCACCTTTCTGTGACATTATCCATATTTTTTACACAGTGGTGTATTCCATGTGCTAACCCAAGTGATAACAATCAGCATTAAACATACCAGGTAGTCTGTTAAGTTGTAAATGAATTGTTTTGATGTTGTTAGATATTGCTGATGTTGTAAATAAGATGTATTCTATAATGTGAAAATGTTTGTCTTCTTCGTAATGACAGACTACATCGAGGCATTCAGACTTACTTTATAGTGAAGAGGCCGTATTTATGTGATACCCCGGATGGGATACTTGTAGACTTAAGCAAAAAATCAATAGTCTTTTGATCTAAAAAGTTTGTGAAAAAAATCTGTTTTCTATAACTGAGCAATATCAGGTTATATCCTTCAAGGGCTAAGATTAAGTAACATCCCAACCTTGGCATACCTCAGTTAGGATTATGTAACAGAATCTTTAAGCCTTCAACTGAGATAACCTGATCTCGCTCAGTTATAGAAAACAGATTTTATTTGTCAGAAACATATATGTGTTATAAATACATTGATTAATTTGTTTCAGAGTAAGTGTGTTATGGATGTTTATGCTGGTTTGTTTGTTTCAGACCCCTACAGAGGATGGTGTCGGGGATGTTCCTGACAGGTGCAGCTTTTGTAGTGGCCGCCTTAGTTCAGATGAAGCTGGATGTAAGATTTTTTGAGATTACCCAATGACAAGTTAACAACCTTTTCCTTTGATAAACTCTCCTTAAATTCACAAGAAAAACAATCTGTGAGGTCAGACAATAGGTTGTTTTTAACCATACTTTTGGAATGAAAGGTGAAAGTAATCTTTCTCTACCTGAACTCACTCACCTCTACATATCTAAACTGGAATTGCTCAGTCTTTGATTTGGTAAGGTTCAAATGTGACTTTAGCTGTGAATGGGTTAAATTTTAACTAAGACAGAAATCTCCAACCCTGGGGTTGATTATTTGGTTGTCCAAACAACTTAATTATCTCTTTCTCTCCAATAAAGTTCATATTATATCTAAAATTCTGCTTCCAATCTGGAAATCATGAATTGCAATGTATTATGAATGATGATGTCACATTGGGAAAATGATGATGTAAACATTGTAACATGAAGTCATGATTAAAAGATTGACCAATGAAATCATGTTAAGTGTGTCACTTAATAACTCCGAGTAGGTCTATTCAATGAGGCTGGATTAAGGAAGCTTGCAATGGTTGTGGGAGAAATTACACTAGTAGGTTCTACTTCAGCAGTGACATTATACGGAATACCGGGAAATGTTTGCCCATTAAAACTTTCGCCCTTCTCCCATAAATTCCATTTCTGCCAAGTGTAATTTTTGCAATTCGCATAGAATTACTACATATATTATTATGTTTTCTACCTAAATCTGTTGCAAGGATAAATTAGCCTTCGTTACAGGGAGTGGAGAAGGCGATAGTTAAATTGCGGCGAAAGTTTCACAGTATACAGTAGTATTTCTCTTTGGTGTAAAGTGCTTAATCCCAAGGACTTTTTAATACATCTCAAGGACTATACTATAAATCTCAAGGACTATACTATAAATCTCAAGGACTAAAGGACTATACTATAAATCTCAAGGACCTTTTAATAAATCTCAAATAAATCTCATGGACTATAGTATAAATCTCAAGGACTATAGTATAAATCTCAAGGACTATACTATATTTGACCTATATAACCTTCAGTGAACATCCATCATGTGTAAGTGTACTAGCTAGGTATTGATAAGTGATGTGTGTTTACTCTGTAGGTTCACAGAGAAGTTCCTCTATCCATGACCCAGAGTGGTGTGACCTTTATCAACACATTCCCTTGTCCTGTAACTCTTTCCTCCGACATCTACTCTGGAGACTTGTCATTTACACAGGTAAGTGTAAGATCATCTCCGTCATCTTCTTTCAGGGATCTGTCGTTACATAGGTAGGTGTAAGGTCATCTCCCTCATTGGCTCTCAGGGATCTGTCGTTTACACAGGTAAGTGTAAGATCTCCTCTCCCGTCTAAGAGAACCCTATTGTAAGTAAGCTTTCTATGGCTTTGATGTGCTATCCCAGAGTAAGGCAAAATACATAAATGATCTTAACTGGGAATCTGTCATTTACACAGGTAAGTGTAAGGTCTCCTCCCTCATCTACTCCAGGGATCTGTCGTTTACACAGGTAAGTGTAAGGTCTCCTCCCTCATCTACTCCGGGGATCTGTCATTTACACAGGTAAGTGTGAGTTCTATTTCCCCTCTACTTCAGGGATCTGTTGTTTACAGGTAAGTGTGTGGTCTCCCTCCCCTCTACTCCAGGGATCTGTTGTTTACACAGGTAAGTGTTAGGTCTCCTTCCCCTCTACTCAAGGAATCGGTCCTTTACAGGTAAGTATGAGGTCTCCTTCCCATCTACTCCAGGCCAGGATCTGTCGTTTACACAGGAAAGTGTGAGGTCTCCTTCCCCTCTACTCCAGGGATCTGTCGTTTACATGTAAGTGTTGGGTATCCTTCCCCTCTACTCAAGGGATCAATTGTTTACAGGTAAGTGTCGGGTCTCCTTCCCCTCTACTCCAGGGATGAGTCGTTTACAGGTAAGTGTGAGGTCTCCTTCCCCTCTACTCCAGGCCAGGATCTGTATTTACACAGGTACGTGCAAGGTCTCCTTCCCCTCTACTCCAGAGATCTGTCGTTTACACAAGTACGTGTGAGGTCTCCTTCCCCTCTACTCCAGGGATCTGTCGTTCACAGATAAGTGTGAGGTATCCTTCCCCTCTGCTCCAGGGATCTGTTGTTTACAGGTAAGTGTGAGGTCTCCTTAGACCCCTCTACTCCATGGATCTGTCGTTTTCAGGTAAGTGTGTGGTCTCCTTTCCCTCTACTCCAGGGATCAATTGTTTACAGGTAAGTGTCGGGTCTCCTTCCCCTCTGCTCCAGGGATTAGTCGTTTACAGGTAAGTGTGAGGTCTCCTTCCCCTCTACTCCAGGCCAGGATCTGTATTTACACAGGTACGTGCAAGGTCTCCTTCCCCTCTACTCCAGGGATCTGTCGTTTACACAAATACGTGTGAGGTCTCCTTCCCCTCTACTCCAGGGATCTGTCGTTCACAGATAAGTGTGAGGTATCCTTCCCCTCTACTCCAGGGATCTGTTGTTTACAGGTAAGTGTGAGGTCTCCTTAGACCCCTCTACTCCATGGATCTGTCGTTTTCAGGTAAATGTGTGGTCTCCTTTCCCTCTACTCTATGAATCTGTTGTTTACAGGTAAGTGTGAGGTCTCCTTCCCCTCTACTCCAGGAATCTGTCGTTTACAGGTAAGTGTGAGGTCTCCTTCTCCTCTACTCCAGGGATCTGTCGTTTACAGGTAAGTGTGAGGTCTCCTTAAACCCCTCTACTCCAGGGATCTGTCGTTTACAGGTAAGTGTGAGGTCTCCTTAGACCCCTCTACTCAAGGGATCTGTCGTTTACAGGTAAGTGTGTGATCATCCTATCCCATCTACTCTGGTTAACTGTTCTCTTGCACTGGTTAGTTTTCTAACAGGAACCTGTCTCCAGTTTCCTTCTTACTTTGTTTCTATCACAATTGTTTTGTGAGATGGTTTGGTGTTATAGGGTTTGATTATAATCATAAGATATATACTGTATACTGGGAAATTGTTGTCCTGTCAAACTTTCGCTCTTTGACAGAAAAATCCATTTTTGCCCAGTTTTGAATTCGCCCTTCACATTAAATTACTCTCATGTATATCCATGTTGTCTACTAATATTTGCTGTAATGATAAATTCACACTTATTACAAAGGTCAAAATTATACTGGAGCAAAAATTCTGCTGTAAAGAGCTGTGTTCAATTAACATGTATTCAAAATTATATTCCTAGAACCCTGTTTGTTCATTTAATATTTTATATCTGCCCACGATGACAGCTCACTGATTATTGTGATTGATGTTTCAGGAGTCTGACTACCTAAGAGTACTACCAGGTTCTCATGCCATCTCTGTTACTACTAACTGTACCGGAAATAAGGCAACAAAAAATGTCACCTTTGACACCAGTTCTGCTTATAGAATTATCATTTTAAAATCTGCCGAGAAGGGGAATTTAGAAATTTTCAAGGTAAGATCATGGATCTTGTATTTTTATACAGAATGTATTTATTTTCAATGTATGCAAGATTCAAGAATATTGATTCCAACAACCTAGTAGAGTTAAGTGAGATTTTTTCGAATTTGAAATTTGAAATTTGAAATTTTTAAATTAAACTTCTCTCATCAATAAACTATCTAATGTTTATTTTAGGCTGATGACCAGAGAAACAAGCCAAGGGAAGGTAACTCTGTTATTAGGTATGTTTCAGTATACATTACAGTGAATTTGTGTTTAAAAACTTGTTTCTTTGACTTTGCTTATCTGAAACAATTTAAAATTATTAAGTAAAGGCATAATGAAATTTACGATAAATTTTAGAGTATCAATTTGATAATGTTTACAATATAATTACCCCACCAAATAAGACCATATCATATAGTCAAATCAAAGTGAAGAATATACAGTGTGTAGTAAAAGGAGGCATTACAGTTACGTAGTTCTATTGTTTTTTGTATATTGAGATATAGTAACATTAAAAACAATAACTGATGTTGTGTAAGAGGAGCAATTTCGTTTTATTTTATTGTACATAAATGTATACAGACACCTGTATGACGTCTGCCCATTCAGGATAAAATCTATATAAAAAACAGCATTAATGCTGCCAATCCTTCAGTGCCATGGGCGGGGCACTTTGATTTTGTTACTGATACTGATCTGTTTTATCCAGCTTACTAATGTCAATGGACTCAAAGACAGAGGTTAGTGTGAAGCTTGTACCTCACTCCTACACCAAAGAGAAACTTAAACCCTCGCCTCCTGGGATTCTGTTTTCTGTATCCAGCTCTAGAGCCTCAGTATATAGGGAGGCCGACCCAGGCTTGTAAGTATTTTTTTTTTTTTTTTTTTTTTTTTTTTTTTTTTTTTTTTTCNTTTATATATTTTTTTAGATTGTAAGTATTTATTACTGGCAGTCCTTACTATGAATTAGGTTACTTGGGTGAAAAATAAAAAATGTAATAACTCACAAAGTATACTGATTGTGATACTGTAAACATACATATTTTAACGAATATCTTAGTTTACCGCTTTCACATATTTTAACTATTGACCTAAATTACGATTGCAAATAACTGAAATTTCTGTAGCGTGTATTTTAAGAATGCCAAATGTTTGATATGCTAATAGGTTTAAATTTGATAAAACACTAAACTTTGAGTGTGCTAAAGTAAGTATATAATTATGCAAACAGTATATGATTTTTGTAAATTTTGCAGATACAATATATGGCAGCTAGTGAAAACGACTGTAAATTCCAGCGAGTCCTGGCAGATGACTAATGCCAGTGTCAATGTAGGAACAGGAGCCTCGTATACCATCCTGTTATATACCAACAGCTCCGACACAGTATGTATAAACTATTTACCATCCTGTTATATACCAACAGCTCTGACACAGTATGTATAAACTGTATATACCATCCTGTTATATACCAACAGCTCCGACATTATGTATAAACTATATACCATCATCCTGTTATATACCAACAGCTCCGACACTGTATGTATAAACCGTATATACCATACTGTTATATACCAACAGCTCCGACACAGTATGTATAAATTATTTACCATCCTGTTATATACCAACAGCTCCGACCCTATGTATAAACTATTTACCATCCTGTTATATACCAACATCTCTGACACAGTATGTATAAACTGTCTATACCATCCTGTTATATACCAACATCTGCGACACTGTATGTATAAACTGTATATACCATCCTGTTATATACCAACAGCACTGACACAGTATGTATAAACTGTATATTCCATCCTGTTATATACCAACAGCGCCGACACTGTATGTATAAACTGTATATACCATCCTGTTATATACCAACAGTTTTATATATGGGACATTTTCACCCAGTCAAACTTTCGCCCTTCTCGAATAAACTCAATTTTCTCTGAATGTAAATTGTATATTATGCTGTCTACCTATATTCACTGGATACATTCGCCCACGTACCAGAGGGGGAAAAGGGCGAAAATTTAACTGCGGCGAAAATTTCCGGTATGCAGTAGTTATGTAATAGGAAGGAAGTATATATTATACAGTATTGTAAAAAAAAGTATGCTGGCATTTGTTTGGGATCAAACTTCCGATTCGATTCCATGTGACCAAAGATAGTAAGGGGACTTGAATACTTATAATGCACAATGCACATCCTTTACATTATCTCCTCATTTTCCCAACTCTTCACCCCAAAAAAAACCCCAACGCAACTAGTTTTTTTGCTCTCCCCAAGGGTCCTCTACTAGCTACTTAGAGCAAGAGTCAACGGCACATGTTTGATAAAGGAAGAACTGAAAATAAATATGTGCATCTGTAACATGTCATTCTTGACTTTATGTTGGAACTCTCTACTGCTGAGCCAAATGGAAATTCACTCTAGCCAAAGCTAGTCAGGCCGCTTCGACAGTATGTACAATGTTCATCCTTTACAATCACACTCAATATATAGAAAGTCAACGTTAGTTCCCAAATGTTGTCACATCACCCTAATGCTACATGTTACCATGGTATTTTATATATTTCTATTGCTTGTACATTGTACATGACTAATTGCAAGTAGCATAGAAATGTATATACCTAATACATTGAGATGTAAATGTATAAATAAATAAGTCTGGTATTTTTGCAGGGAATATATTTCAACCTGTAATATAAATATACATATACGTTTATACTGTATGATCAAGAACAGCAGTGTGGCTTAAATGACACGTTTATACAGCAGTGTGGCCACAGTGACATGTACCATGTAATGCATGTTTTATTTAACAGGTCCATACTGTGATATACAGCAGTGTGGCCACAGTGACATGTAGGCTATAATGTATGTTTTATTTTACAGATCTATACTGTGATATACAGCAGTGTGGCCACAGTGACATGTACCCTGTAATGTATGTTTTATTTTACAGGTCCGTACTGTGATATACAGCAGTGTGGCCACAGTGACATGTAGTCTGTATTGTATGTTTTATATAACAGATCCATACTGTGATATACAGCAGTATGGCCTCAGTGACATATACCCTGTAATGTATGTTTTATTTTACAGGTCCGTACTGTGATATACAGCAGTGTGGCCACAGTGACATATACCCTGTAATGTATGTTTTATTTAACAGGTCCATACTGTGATATACAGCAGTGTAACAGCTAACACTGTGTCCCTCCTTTGGATGGTTCCTCAATATGTGGTCATCACTGTCGGAGAAATCCTATTCTCGGTGTCTGGACTTTCCTTTGCCTACTCAGAGGTATATTGAACCCTTTCCTGTGAGACATGCTTTATAAACATTACCTCCATTATACATGTTCTGTCTCTGGTCCTGTTCAGTAGATACCCTGCAGTTATATACACGAAAGCAATGACCATATTTACAATACAGTAATGAGGTATACTATTTGTCTTGCAGCATATATTGCAATAAGTTTCTCAACTGATTTTCAGAAGGTTTCAGCTCAGTCATGATTTCATCGTACAGAAATAACGTTAAGATCCAAATTCGGCTTGATTGATTTGATAACTTTTAAAAACTATATACAATAGTTTTCAATTCACCATTGAAGCTTGCTAAGCTGATGCTCACTTTTTATGTTTTCTAAAAAATACACTGAATTTCTAGGAATACAATATATTATGATGTATTTCTATAGTTTCTTGATATTTGATATGGAAATATTGCTTACAATACTCACCTCTACTTACAATATGGTTACCCTACTTTTAAGACAGTTATAAGAAAGCTAATACTGAGGATTTTTTCGCAGTGTGGGATTGCTCGCATTTTTTTGTGTAGTAAATTAATAGCCACAACTAGCACGGAAATTTACACAATGCAGAAATTTCCATTCTGTCATTTCATTTCAACAAATTTTATTGTTTAGAAAACAAATGGATTAAACAACAGGCAGGCCTATATAAGTCCTCTCCAATAGGTACCACATATATACAAGTCAAAGTGAATAGTGAATAATAGATATCATAGACAGTAATGTATATATATAAAGAGAAATAGATTTTAACATGAAAGCATTGATGGTAGTATTACACAAAAATCTGTCATCCATTTAAAAAGTGTTATTATGAAAAATCCCCCTTGCAAAAGTCTCCACTTTTACAGTACTGATAGACTTACCTCTGTATTTAAATACACGTAGTGAATGTCAAAGGCCCCAAAGACCAACAATAAGTTCACACACACCGTGTTAAGCCCATATACGCTGTCCTTTGCAGGCTCCAAAGTCCATGAAGTCTGTTGTACAGGCAGCGTGGCTACTTACAACAGCGGTCGGGGATCTTATTGTAGTGATAGTAGCGGAAGCACAGCTTCTACCCAGCCAGGTAAGTACAACAAAAGTTATGTACTGTATCCAATGTCAGCTTCTACCCAGCCAGGTAAGTACAAAGACAAGTTATGTACTGTATCCAATGTCAGCTTCTACCCAGCCAGGTAAGTACAAAGAAAAGTTATGTACTGTATCCAATGTCAGCTTCTACCCAGCCAGGTAAGTACAAAGAAAAGTTATGTACTGTATCCAATGTCAGCTTCTACCCAGCCAGGTAAGTACAAAGAAAAGTTATGTACTGTATCCAATGTCAGCTTCTACCCAGCCAGGTAAGTACAAAGAAAAGTTATGTACTGTATCCAATGTCAGCTTCTACCCAGCCAGGTAAGTACAAAGAAAAGTTATGTACTGTATCCAATGTCAGCTTCTACCCAGCCAGGTAAGTACAAAGAAAAGTTATGTACTGTATCCAATGTCAGCTTCTACCCAGCCAGGTAAGTACAAAGAAAAGTTATGTACTGTATCCAATGTCAGCTTCTACCCAGCCAGGTAAGTACAAAGACAAGTTATGTACTGTATCCAATGTCAGCTTCTACCCAGCCAGGTAAGTACAACAAAAGTTATGTACTGTATCCAATGTCAGCTTCTACCCAGCCAGGTAAGTACAACAAAAGTTATGTACTGTATCCAATGTCATCCCTATTTTTAGGAGAAACTAATTAACATATACCATACTTTATAATGACTTCAGTTGATACAAATATATTTTTTAAATATTTCAAAATTTCAAAATGTTTAATTTTTTCCTATGAATAATAGTCAATTACTGGATTTCATGGTAATCATGCATAACATATTCACATTGTATACTAGTACACCATATTCAGATGTAGACATAGAGGATCTTACATGAGTATTCATGTCATATTGAATTTATTAAACAAGTTAAATAATTTAATACGAGCCTTTATGCAAGCTATATATTTCAAATTACTGAATGATTACTAAATCTTGTCTTCTTGGGGCAAAGATGGCACAAATTAGGCGCTTCAAGACTTGTACATATTAGTTTCTTAATATAACATATATTTATGCCCAAAAGGTATATATTGGCTTTGTGCTGAACAAACGAATGTGAGATTCTATTTATCACATAGCATCCATAATTTTAAAAAAAATCTGTAAACACAATTATGTGTTATCAGCTGACTCTACATACAACAACACCAAAATAATCTAATCATAGTGTTGTCGTTCCACACAGTGACAAAGTAATCTAATCATAGTGTTGTCGTTCTACACAGTGACAAAGTAATCTAATCATAGTGTTGTCGTTCCACACAGTGACAAAATAATCTAATCAAAGTATTGTCGTTCCATGCAGTGACAAAGTATAATTAAGTATAATTAAGTGCCAGTTTATTTTTTTAATAATGATGAGGTTTAAATGAGAATAATAATGATAAAATGAAGATTTAAAATTCATTTAGAATAACAGTGAATTTATCATGTGGTATAATATACAAAACTAGTTGCGTAGGAATTTATTCATGCAGCTTTGACCAATCGCAGCACCTTTAGGTTTTAATACATGTGTGTAATACCATATTTATGACATGTCCGTATGACATAGTAAAATGGGTCTGTTACATGTATTTTTTGTCTTTAAGTTTTTACATAACATGGGAGACAATAAAAAGGACTTCTCTCTGAATATCAAGTAATTGATAATTGTTTGCTGAAGTGAAAATGGATTAAATTTGTCCACTTCATATAATCTGATTTGAAATTGTTTCTGTTTCAGACAGCGGAATTTTTCTTTTTTGCAGCCTTGATGACATTTGTATCCTTTGTTTTCATGTTGATGTCTTTATTCTACAATTATCACACTACTTCAAGTTCATCAGATCCTAGTACTGATGATACCACAGGACTTATAACGAAGGGAGATAACTCTCCTGACATTCCTATGCAACATGTAAACTCAAAGTAAAATTTAAAAATTTGTTAACTTAATTGTTATTTTACTATTCTTTCTCTTAAATTTTGCATGAAATAGTTATGAATACATATTAATTTAATTCACTGTTTTATTCTGTTGATGTGTTTTGTAGACTTAAATGCAGGCAATATGTGTTATATAAATAGATCTTGGGTCATGGCTACTAGATTGTTTTTGTTTATTATAACATTGATAAAACGATGCCAGGCTTTTGTATAAGACTTTTAGAAACATGACTACGTTATAAGACAAATATTTGGTTGTTTTAGATTTCTCTGTGCAATCTTGTTTTAAAAACAGTGGTTTGCTAACATGAGTGTGTAAGATATCTTGTTTGATCATGTAATGAGAAAAAAAAGTAATGGGATTGTTTTACCTGTTTTTTATGATTTTGTTGTGAAAACAATAATTGGGTTATTTTTGAAGGTACCTATCATTAATTATGATCATTTTTTTTATCTTGAAATGAAAAAAAGTAATAGTGTTGTTTAGATATCTTTTATGATCTTGTTGTGAAAACAATAATTGGGTGATATTTTAAATATCTTGAACAATCTTGTTATGAGTATATTTTTGCCAAAATGAATACAGTTAAATTTATTATAAAGCCTAAATAAAGGTATAAGCATTGTGATTTATTGTTTATGTTAGTAAAATTTCTACCAGGAGTAAGCCTTAATGTTAACTCATTTATCCATGCAATTTCATAATGAACTATTCCAACCTTTGAATGGGAAGAGTTAAAATGTGTCTTTAGGGGCGAGTCAAGTAGTGTTATAAGCACAGTTGCCATGTACATATTTTCCCACTGTTAAGGGTTGTACATTCTATCAATGACGTGATGATCAGTCATTAATTTCCTCCAATTTTGTCATTTTTAGAAGATTTATATTTTGATTTAATATTGTTTAACATCTTGGATTATTGGTTATTACCCCTGAAGATAAGTTCCTTTGATCATATAAAAACTACTGTAGATTCAAAAACATGTTACCTAGATCTGCTTCAAACAAATACGGAACAGCATTTGTGACAAACCATATGGTTTCATTCAAATCATGATTTAGAAACAAGCTGTGGAGGATTTTATTTTTCACGCAACTGAGCACAAGCTTGCTATTGCCATCACTTTCTGTCTCTCTCTTGCAAGATTCCAGAAATCATCCAACACAATTTGATATGAATTGCCGTAAATCATCACGAGGAAAGTGTTTTCATATTCGTTCATATGCTAACGCTTTGCTTCTTTGGAGTTTTTGTGTTTTGAGAAATTGAGAAACCTTCACTAAGTTTCTTAGATTTGTTCAAAATAGGCCTTCTAGGGCCTCACAAGGGGCCACCTGAGCTAACTATTAGCATTAGTAATGACCAAAATTATTCTCTGAAATATAATTTTCTTCTGTTCATGTTTACCCCCCATCATAAACCCATCATTACTAGTAAAAGGGAGACCATATTTTCTATAAGAGTTATAAGCATTACTTCCTAGTGACCAAGAACGGGACTTCAAAATCCTGCCTTTCAATTGAGGTTAATGTCAAGGGGTTTGATAAATGGAAAGCGTGGTTGAGAATTGGGTTCTGGTTTTCATCAGTTCTTTGAAATGATAATCCGAACAACACAGAAGCTTGTTCACATGATCCTTAACAATGAAAACAACGTTGACAAAAAGATTGAAGGATTTTATAGCGGAGCTGAGTGTAAGTAACAATGTAGAAGAATCAGAAATATTGGTGTGGTAAAAGTTGAATCAATTACGAACTATAAGCTTTGAGAAGTCCTTAAAAAAGTTTGTGTAGTTAACGTTTAATCAAATTAACCTTTTGAGAAATCCTCTATGATCATCTTTTCAAGTTTGGTATATCACAGATGGATATCTTTCACAAGTTGCGTGGTTTAGATGTAAAAATTAAAATTAAAACCATGAAAATGCTAAATGAGATATCCCATGCCAGGAGAGGAGATTTCAAAATATTTAACAACTAGCACAAATTGGCTATGTGTATTCATTTAGATTTGTTGAAATTGGGGTTCTAGGTTTAGGTGAAGGGATCACATCTTTAATATGAAATTATACTTGTATCATTTAAATCAAGTGAGCAATTTAAGGCCCTTTAGGTCACTTGATTAAAATTCATTATTGTGTGCTTCAGTTGTGAAATACTTACTGACCATAAAATAGGATTCTTTAGTTCATTCTCAATGGTGGCATACTTCCTCAACTGAAAATAATTTGTATTAGTATTGGCCCGAGTTTCTTCTGATCCTGACTCCAGACTTAGACATTTCGACAGATAGATGTCTGGTGTGGGCAGACTTTTATTTATGAAAATGTCTAAGTCTGGTGTCGGGGCCAGAGGAAACTCGGGCTAGTTTAGTATATGATATATTTCAGTTTAACTTTTGCTGGGAAATTGATTATGTATGGAATTCTATAAAGATATTGATGTTGTTATTTGTTTTTGTTTGGTTGGTACTTTAATCAAATACTAGATATACTCTACCATATGATGTTCGTTGTGTTTGTTTTTTGTTTAGTGAGAAATATACTTTTATCAAATACTATACTTTGTCATGTATGATATTTGTTCATGTCCTTTTTATTTAACGTTTAATTGTTCTAAATCAAATTCTACTCAAGTTCTTCTGAAATACGTTTTTGTAAATATCTTGATTGTTATACTAAGCATGACTGTTTGTAATTTGAGAACATTTTTTGAGAAGCTTTGCGTTTCCTTTCCGTCCCTGTATTACAGCAATTATTTATATGTAGGGGTCATCCTCGATTCTCCAGGGGTTACACCTAGTTTCATTCTCAGCATCAATGGAATATGTCATAGAAAAATTGAAGGCACACAGCTAGGTATTTGATTGGTCTCGGGTAAATAAAACTGACCAATCGCGAGGCTGATACATGTTCTTTGAAGATTACAGAGAAGTGACACCTGACTCCAAAGTCAGTTACTTTTACCGTTACCAGACAGAGATATTAGTTTAAAATGTATTTATTTCTGGTAATATACAAGGCATTATATTTTCAATACATAATCAACATCGATTCGAAAAACAGGTACACACTGTCCGTTTCGTTACGTTAGATATACGATAATGACAGCAGATATAGTAATCATTAAATCATACATAAATCAATTTCGTTAAATGGCAGAAATATGAAGGGGACATGTAAACAATGTAACAATTATCGATGAATGTGAATAGCAGTGATACTCAGATAGGAAATGACGCCTCGAAGTAATGTACGCCTAGCTACAAACAAAATGTTCATAATATGATTTTCATAGCTATTGTGCTCACACTATATCTGTTATACACACAAATCAAAGAGATATTGTTTCGAGGTTCAAACTAGTCTTCTTGTCTCATTCGCAAGGTGGTGTACACTGAGCCATTGATTTTGCTATGACATATTCCAGGGATACAGAGAGTGGAAGTGAGCGTAACCCCAGAACAAATGAATACATTGTATTAATGGTAGTTGACAGAGGCTTCTATATTGTATATTTATTTGATAGTAGTTGAGACTATACTACCAAACATTTTAATTAATTACCTGTTAAAAAGAGAGTTTAAAATCAGATAACCCTGTTACTGTTCTGTCTAGTGTTATTTCGAACTGTTTTATCGGCTATGTCTCATCTTAAATGTACAGGATTTTTTTTTTAATATTGTCGTTAATCATGAGATTAATCTTAAACCCTACCGTATATGGTAACTGAATCATGTGTTGTGACTTCAAATACTCGTCAATTACATTGTATATGATGTTGTATTGAAACAGTTATAGTAATCTCACAGAATGTGCTGGTTGCTAGAGAGAGTGTGTGTGCAATACACAGACGTATTAACATGCTCTTGTCAGGATGTAATTATTAGACTCTTGGTAGCATGCTTGGAATCTCGAGGTGTCTCATTCTATTATTTTCCAAGTACCATCGCTTTTTCTGAAACTGTGAAGATTTTGAATGAGTGAAACCTATTTTGGCAATAAGCATTTTTATCCTTATTTTATCAAACAGTTTCTGTCAATACTGTAGCAAGCTAAGTATTTTCGATTCACGCTATATGAGTTTATATAGATATTGCAGAAGAATAGGGAAATATCAATAACGAAAAGTAGTTGCTTAGTTACAAACAAAAATAAGGGGGGGGGGGTTAAGGAATTATACCCTGTCATGATACTTAGCAATCAGTAATCGCTAAGTAACTAACATAAAATAAGGAAATGAACCTTGTCAAGAAACTTAGTTACAAACGAAAATGAAAGAGATAAAAATAAGGAAATATACCCTGTCCAGAAACTTAGCATTCAGTAGTTATAGACAAAATATGATATATCAACATTTGGTTTTGGAAAATATAAACTAAGAGGTATGTATTTTTGTTCTCTGCCTCTTTGCCCCTTTCCATCTCATGTATTGTCCCTATGCCTCTCCATTTCTGCATTCTGTTGAACTCCTATTCATGTTGCCTGTTGATCGTATCGTTCATTGTCCCATTGGTTATTTGATAACGAGGTTCATTGTGAAATGACCTGTATTTATATCTATATATGATGAATAGGAAATGGGGGTTCTGCATAAATCCGTCCCTCCCTCTATATTTATAGTAAATCCCTCCCTGACGGGATGGATCAGTGAGGGATGAGGGACTGACCCCATGACCTTGTGAGGGACTGACCCCATGACCTTTCATAGGAATTCCCTCTCAAAATAGATTGAATACCCCATAGGGAACATTGAGGGACTGCCTTGCGTCAGGTCTATTTTTAGAAAAACCAGTTCGGTTCGCTTCTATATTGCGGTATCGTAGTATTTTAAGCCCGGTGTGGGTTTTCCCAATTTGTGTATATTAGACACCTTTACTTACAAAAGCGTTATCAGTTGAAGTTTAACTCTCCAGGTGTGTAGACGTATGTACATACACGCTCGCTACTGAAAATATACACAGCAGATAGCTTTTGAGAAAAATAGTGAAAACCAGTCAAGCGTCTCATTACCTGTAGAGCGCCATTATCTCGCTATCAGTCGAGGTGTATACATCTATATCAGCTGTA